GGCTATTACCGTACTTCTGTCTACTTCCTGTCCAAGATCTTTGCTGATCTCATCCCCAACCGCATCATCCCCATCTTTATCTTTTCAGCCATCGCCTACTATATGATGGGTAATTATCATACATACAAGCACACACACACACACACACACACACACACACACACACCATATTGTAACATGCAGATGAGACTGCAGACAGTCACCAAGTGTAGAGAAGAACAGGTGCTGTTTTATTCATGTCCTTGAAATGACTATTGTTCCTGTTTTGCTCTCCTTTAGGACTCATGCAGAGATTTCCAAATCAAGAAGTGCCTTCATTATATTCCCCAGTTGATTTAGAGTGTGAATGCAGCAAATTATGTAGTGAATAAGGAAACAGTTCATAATTATTTCTGCACAGGCTTGGCTTCATCCCAAAGGGGTTCAAGTTTTTAGAAAAAAATCCAGATGACAGATTCCAGTTTAGTCTATTTTAGGGACATAAATGAGCCCTTCCATTTGACCTGACTGCCATGTTTGATCCCACCAAGGGGAACCTGCTAAAAGCAACACTCTGGATTGTATTAAAATGCCTGTTTTTGTTTTACAGAGAATTTTCTGTCATTCTGTTCACATGCATCTTCCACTCTTTTAGGGCTGAAGCCTGCCTTTGAGGCCTTCCTGTGCTTTGCTCTGACCATGTCTCTGGTCAGTCTGGCAGGAGTCGGTCTGGCCTTCCTTGTCTCAGCGAGTGTATCTTCATTTGCCATGGCTAACATCCTCATTGCTCTACCCTTTGTCTTCATGATGGTGAGACGCCAAGACTCACTCGCAAAACATACACGACTGAGATCATAATGCTATTACTCTGTAAAAAGTATTATTACTGTAATATTATTACTAGAAATGCCTTACTGCCCAACACTGCTCTTGAAGATATAGAATTATCTGTCATGTGTATTATTCCCTCTCCCCCCTTTTCATCCTCCCATTTTAGGTCTTCGGTGGTTTTCTTGTCAATCTCAATTCCATGCTGACCTGGCTCTCCTGGCTGAAATGGATCAGTATCTTCAGATATGGATTGAATGTAAGATATGGAAAGCAGGCTGAGTAAGAGAAGAAGGGTGTGGTTGTGAGAATGAGATAAGTGGGGTTAAATTTAATCTGTCTTTATCTGTAGCGAGGAAGTCTTTCAGCACAGTCTCTTTGTCTCTCTCAGGCTGCATTCATCAACGAGATGACAGGACAGTTCTTCTACAGCAACACCACCATGTGAGTGCTGAGCAATAACTGAGCCACTCCTTTAAATACAATAACCCGCACACACACACACACACTCAGACACAGACACACTGAGCCTCTCTCATCTGTGTTGCAGTATCCCAGGGGAGATGTTCCTGAAAAGCCAGGAAATCGACTACTCTGTGTGGGGATTCTGGCAGAACCAGGTGGCTCTGCTGGGAATCATATTGGTCTGCATGTTCCTGGCCTATGTACAGCTGCGACGAATCAACCGCTGGAAATGATGCCCATCCATCTGCTTATGTATCCATCAGCCACTGTCTCCTATCTTATATTTATTTAACAAGCTTCAGATGGAGCTTATGTGCACTAGATGAAATATAATATGATTATTTACATTTTTATTTAAAATCAAAGTATTTGTTGAACACTACACATGGAATATCTCTCTCTGTCGCTCACGCTCTCACACATAAACACACGTGTTGTAACATTTGATTCTCAGGTGGATAAGCTGCCACTAAGCACACTTGGTTTGTGCACGAGGGAATGTACAGCAACAGCCAAACTAAACTGCTTACAAAGCTACTTACAGCGAGTGAGATATTAGCTACAGGAAAGAAAAGATTTACAGAAGCTACATTTTACAAATAGTCAGGTACGACTTCTGGTCTCACACTCAAGAGTTTCTGCGATTTCTTTTTTTTTTATTCATACAGTGACATATTCAACAATCAGCTAATCCCTGATACTTTGACTCTTCCTCCAGCATTAGAACAAGCCCTCGTGTTTGGTATGGTCATAGCAAGAAGGTTAGTGGCTTTAAAGGAAAAGCTAGATTACATTGTTTCTTGTCTACACCTTGAAGAAACTGGTATACTCTGTCCACTGCCCATCCCAAGTTCCTTAACTTCTAACTCTCTGGGGATCCTTTATTGAACATATCAGGAGGGAGAGCTGGGAGCTCATTGTATTGAACTGTATTATACTGTACTGTATTGTGTTTTGATTCACCAAGATTTCAGTTTTCTGGCCTTTATCTTGGTTCTATGGAGGCTGTTTCTGACCCTCAATCTACTTGTGGTCATTTCATCATACTGATTTACCTGCATATGTGCACTTTTTCTGTGTGCTGGTAGTTATTTTATTTTACTCTGTCATGTCTATTTCTTTCTTTTGGTTATTTGTGTTCTAAAAAAGGAACATTTTCCTAAATATATATTCAATTTATGTAAAATAAATTATAGTCAGCATAAAGCTTTTTTAATTAATGCCTTGTAGCACCAGTGAAGGAATTGTCCCTTTATTTTTTGTTACAAACTTTAGGCAGGTTTTAGAAAATATTATACTTATAAAATAATCTTAACATAAAATATGTATGTCTCAAGTGCATGCTGTAAAATTTGATTACAGGGATGAGAAAAAGAGACACACATAACAGAGGCTTTCAAAAATTAAACATTTTTCAATTTAATTTAATTATTTTGTGAACAGTGAACACTTTCATTTCACTAGAACTTTAAGATTGGAAAATAACTTTATTCCACTCTGTCTGACAGTATCACATATATATTATTAATACCAGCTCTTCATTGAAGATTTATGCTGTTTACACTGAGTGCAAAATTGAAAACCCATGTTTTTGATGATGGTACCATTGCATTAAATGAAAACATTCTAGATATCTTGTGCATTGTTTTATACATATTTCCCCCAACTTCAGTATATGTCTTTGTAAACTTAAGGATCTCCCCTGTGACAAAGGGTTTAAAAATGTGATCGAATGGTAAAATATGATTTGTCCTTATGAGGCGTCTCAAGTTTTACTTCCCCACGGACTTGGAGAAGAAGAGGGATCAAACAAAACAGCAGGAACAGAACATTTCATGAACAAACGTTTCATAAAAACACTGTTACAGTGGATGAATATCTTAGCAGGAACAGTAAAATCCTACAGTTGTTTTACAGATCCTTGAAGCATCCACAAGAGAAACACAGCACCAGTAACACACAGTAAGCACATCTTCAAATAGCAAACACAGAAACAGAAGCTGCAGTTCATTCTCAGGTTGGAAGACGACACCTGCTTTTAATTTAACCTTCAGAAACTTTTCACACCACTTGCACTCTTATTCCGGTTGTTTCCCACTGTCACTGGTGTGTTTTCCAACCCACGGAGCCACTCTGTACATTTCAGCACCACACGCTCATCCACACCATAGTCCTCCTCTTCCTCATACTCCACATCATCATACTTATGTTGCTCGTTCAGAAGAGAGATTTTCACTATTGAGCTTATGTCTCTGAGTTCAGTATCACAGTTGTTTTTAGCATTGGCTCTGCTGTTTAGAGTGCTGTGTCTCTGTGTTGCTGGTTGATGCCTTTTAGAGACATTTTCTCTCCTGCGTCTGGAATCTGAAGCGTTTCCAGAAACACCACCTCCGCTTCCAACATTTCTGGATGCTGAATGTTGACGTCTCTCACTGTTCCTCCGCTGCAGCAACAGAACAGCCTCTGGTGTGAGAGTCAGTGTGAAATGGGCCTCCTCCTGATGCCTGGCCTTCATCTTCACCTCTGGTTCACTCTTCACAGGGCTGTGCTGCTGTGTCTTGGACAGGGACTCGCCTGAGCTGGAGGCAGGGAAGCTGTCCGTTTGTGATGAAGGCAACAATCTGTCCCTTCTCTTTGAATGCAGCTCTGCTCCTGAAACTCCTTTGGCGGTTGGCAGATGACTCCTGGGTTGGCTCTTTTTCCCCAGCTGCTTGAGGTTCGAAGCCAGTCGCTCCTTCACTGAGCTGCCTTTGTCGTCTTTTTGGACCTTCGTCTTGGCCAGAGTATTTGTAGATGAAGTGCTGTTGATGGGTCTCTCCTTCCCGGTCAGCCCTGACACAGAGCGCGCAATCGACACAGGTGGGATGAATGGCATTTTGGAAACACACAGGATCAAATAAGAGAGGAGTTCCGTTTTGCGTTTGAAGTGCCGGATGAAAGAAAAAGAGGGCACTAAGGAGGAAACCGGTTTACTGAGGGAGGTGAGATACTTCGATGCATCCTCGGCCATGCAGGGGTCAGCAGTGTGTTGCTGCTGCAGTGCTCATCTACCCTGGAGAGGCAGACATCCTGACAGCGTCTTATACCTGTGCAGCAGGAGGGCGTGGCCTGGAAGGCTTCAGTGTGACCTCAGAGGAGGGGAATGAAGGGTTTTGCTGCAACTCAAATGCTCATTACTCTGAGGCTCAAAGATCTAAAATAAACCCACACTTGTAATCCTCTGGTGTCATCAGTGTGAGCACGTTTACTACACACAGTGCAAGTGCACATGCAGGCTTAATCCGCACAGGCTGTATTAATGACTAAAGAGAAAGTAAGGTAGGAGTCAGTAGCTGTGAACACAAGTCACACTCTAAGCAGGACACTTTACTCTTAATCAAAAACATGTAAAAAAATACAAACTTCCTTCTTGACCTTGAATGTAGATGTAGTTGGTTGACAAATAAGTAAATGTTTGAGAGTGAGAGAGTGAGAGAGTGAGAGTGAGAGAGAGTGTGAGTGAGTGAGTGATGACATGCAGCATAACTCAGTCCACTTACTAGCTTTTCCTACAGCTTTGAACTGCATCTCATGGTCTTCATTTGTGGATAAAAAAAGCTAAGTAAGTTCATCTAAATGCTAATTCAGTTTGCATTATTTGTTTGTTTTACACAATCTGCTCATATCCAAATGTAGAATATATTCCTGTTGTGTGCTCTTCTTCGATAGGACAGAAAATATGAAAAATATTGACACAAAAAACATTTATTTGGATACCATTTGTTACAAAATCTGATTAAAATGTAGTTAAAACTCTAAATTCAACATAACAGAACCTAACACATCTTCTCTTATATATATCATTATAAATTTAAACATATACATCTATATATTTTAAGTTATCCTGACCAACTTTAAGAAGGTATAGATACATTTTACTGCAATAATCAGTTTGAACTTGTGTGACAGTGTTACTGCTGTAAGCTTGCGTGTGTTCATTCACAGCATGTCTTCTTGTGTATGTAGAGGACCTGTCGACAGCGAGGACAAGTGTGATAGGCATCCTTGAAATAGTTCACAAATAATGGAATCAGGCAGCATCCAAGCAGCAACCTGTGAGACAGAAATTACACATCAGTTTTTGCCTTTTGAATGTCTGATGATGGATGTTTGGTATTTAGATTAACCAGATTTAGCTTTTTGAATTAGTCTCTCCTCACCCGCATAACACAAACACAAAACACATGAGCCACGCGTGAGTCCCGACTTGGTAGGTGACCTGCGTGGTGACCTGAGTCTGACAAGCAGGGCATGTTGTCAGAGCTGGAGAGCGATACAGCTCCGTTTCATAGCTCACAAACTTCGGCCTGGGAGTAAGCGGAGGGAGAGCAGACACTAGAGGGAAGACATGGGAGGAGAGAATTACAGTTTCTCTCTCTTAACATTATCTGACCAGTGCTGCTCGAGAGGTTGGACGAGGAAAGTATTGCCATTTATTATACAAAACTACTATTTCTACCTGGAACTTTGCAATAAATAAATTTATTTTACTTAAATAATGTAATTTTTCCAACTATTGCATGTTATCCCACTCCCTCTAAAACTACCAGTATGTAACATTCATAATTTACAATTTTTTTTTTATCATTTTGGACAATAAAACACTATAAATGGACGACTACAATCAACAAGTCCCAACTTAAAAAACACCCCTGAAAATCTATAATGTCTTAAGGAAAGAACATGACAAAGAAAATGTGACATTCAGACTCTGCATGTCCAAAATGGAGGCAGATGTGAAGTGAGCGTGTACCTGGAGGTGAGTAAGTTTGGGTGGAGCAGCCAAGTCCAGGAGAAAATGAGAAGGAAGGAGGAGGTGGTGCAGGGCTGAAAGGTGAGTGAATACGGTAGGTCCTCACATCTTGCCCAGAGTCTGGAGGAACAAACACATACCACAAACTTCTGTGAAAACTGTCCCAGTAAACAAAGCAACAAGTTGAGAGTTTATTTTACCTGTTAAGAAATACGGTGGAGGTGTAGGAAACGGCTCGTCCACTTTTCTTAAGGACTCCATATAACAGTTCGGTGGTGTAAAAGAGAGAAAATGGAGCGTGAGACTCTGAATGATGTTTGCAGCTAGCAGCAGTTCACCTGTAGGTCTACCAGCTGCAATGAGATACTAATTAAAACCTCCTCTGATTGGTTTCAGAACCTATTACCCACAAGTCAATAGCAGGGTGATCTTTAAAATGAGGCAGTAGGGATTTGGGGGTAATTTTTTTTAGAAATGTGCACTATACAGCCACCTTTCATTCACTTACTGCAGAAATAATGGAGCTTGATAGCATGTCCATTGACTTCTTCGGATTTTAAAAGGTTTACATGTTGCCAAAAAACACAATAAAATGAAGATGTGTGTGTTGGTTAACAGTACCACAGCATCATGTACATGTACAGGACAGCAGATCACATCTAATGGCCCTGATGTTACTTTTTAGTAGTGCATAATCAAACAAAATCACAATCAGTCAAACTACCATAAAGTGTTCATGTGTGGCTTTCAGGGCCCCTGGGAATCTGTGGCCGGGTTGGTAATCTATGGAAGCCCATTTTTAGGAAAAAAAAGATTCTGCAAGTCATTATAATGAGAAATGTTCTCAAAATAGTGACTTACCATCTCAATATAATGACTTGGTATCTCAAAATAATGAAGCTTTCTCAATATTTTAAATTAGTATCTCAAAATAATGACTTAGTATCTCAAAATAATGAGAAACTTTTAATATTTTGAATTAGTATATCAATATTTTGACTTCGAGATACTAGTGTACATACATTAAAGTGTAAAGTAAATTTATTTTTTTTAGATACTAATTCAAAATATTGAGAAAGCTTCATTATTTTGAGATACCAAGTCATTATATTGAGATGATAAGTCACTATTTAGAGAACATTTCTCATTATAATGACTTACAGAATCTTTTATTATTATTTTAACATACTAAGTTGTTGTTTTGAGTTAATAAGTCATTATTT